AGTGACTGTTCAAAGTTACAATAGCACTAAAAAAAATGACTTATGACTGTTTTTCACACTTACGACCATTGCAGCATCTCCATGGTCACATGATCAAAATTCAGATGCTTGGCAAGTGTCTCTGGATCATATGATCTCTGGATCATATGATCTCCTTTTCAACCTTCTGACCACTTCCAGATCACGGAGATTCCAATTCTTTTGCCCAACTCCATTCCAGTTCCCCTACCCAAACAGTCTTAGGTCCAGGTCATTATATACACTTTAAAAGTATTTTCTATAGCCATGTTTCAGAGCATGATTTTACAAATTCAGATTTTCTAGAAGTTGCATTAATGTATTTGAAATAAAGTAGAATAGAAGTAATTCAGTTTTCCAAAAGTGAAAGAGCTTCACAGTTATGCACCATATTTACCAATGAGTTCTGTAACTGGTTATGCTGCCAGATTAAAGAAAATTGTATGAATATATGACTGCATATATGATCATATAAATAGACAACATTAAATATAACTAGAAAGTCTGTAAGGAATTTGAGATAAGATAAGATAACCTTTATTGTCATTTTTATACTGTGGGCACAATGGCACACATCAAAAATGAAATTAAGTTGCCCGCTCTCAAAGTGAAACACATACATGACACACACCTAAACATACTGTGAACAACATATGTATAGACCCACATCCCTACATATACATAGCAAATAAATATTAAATATTGTCCATCTTGAATATATAACGGAAGGAGGAAGCTTGAGAGTTCACAAGGTTAATGCTGTATGGAATGAAACTCTAGCTGAATCTGGATGTTCTGCTTTGGATACCACGAAGCCTCCTCCCAGAAGGTAACAAGGAAAACAGGTCGTGAAGAGGATGTGTAGTGTCCCAGATAATCTTATGGACCCTGCTCAAGCAGCGCTTCTGTGCTATGTTCTGGATGAGAGGGAGGGAACTGCCAATGATCTTTTCGGCCATTCTCACCACTCTCTGCACCGCCTTCCTGTCTGAAGCAGTGGTGCCTCCAAACCAGACCGTGATGCTGTATGACAGGATGCTCTCGATCGTCCCCCTGTAGAAAGTGGTCAGGACAGGGGAAGAAAGATGTGCTTTCCTCATGCAGCACAGAAAATGTAGGCGCTGCTGTGCTCGCTTCACCAGTTTCTCACTGTTGAGCGACCAAGTCAGCCTGCTCATTAGCTGCACACCCAGGAATTTGATGCTGGTAACCATCTCCACAGGTGAATCATTTATGCACAGAGAAGTGTGGCTGTGCCTGCCTTTTCTGAAATCAACAATGATCTCTTTGGTTTTTCCAGTATTTAAAACTAGGCTGTTTTCCTTACACCAGTTCAGTAACCCTTCAACCTCCTTGCGGTAAGCTTCCACCTTGTCATCCTGAATAAGGCCCACTGCTGTTGTATTATGTGCAAACTTTACAATATGGTTGGTGGCAAACCTAGCACAACAGTCATGGGTCAACAGGGTGAACAGTAGTGGACTTAAGACACAGCCCTGAGGAGAACCTGTGCTCAAGAAAATGGTATTAGAGGTATTTGTTCCAACTTGCACATATTGGGGCTTGTTGGTAAAGCAGGGGTCCCCAACCCCCGGTCCATGGACCGGTACCAGGCCGTGGCATGCTAGCAACCGGGCCGCACAAACAAGCAAAGCCCCATCTGCAGGATGCAGGCAGCACACAAAACCAAGCCCCCTCAGGTCCGCAGAAAAACCTCTCTCCACGTAACTGGTCCCTGGTGCCCAAAAGGTTGGGGACCTCTGGGCTAAAGCATCAGGCTAGAAACAAGGACACTATGAATTCTAGTTTCCCCTTAGGCACTAAGCTGTTTGGATAATCTTGAGCTAGTCACTCTCTCAGCCCTAGGAAACAGTCAATAGCAAATAGAAAACTGCAGATTCTTGCCTGGCCAGAACTCAACACTGACTCGAAGACACATACACACATGCACACACGCACAGAGGAATCATTGAATTATAGATTTGATGATCCTTTCCATATGTGCTATTGTGGCAGATAGCTGAATTATTTGTTTTCTTTGGTATTTAACCTTTAAGTCTGATACTCTTGGGCATTTACTCTGGAGCACAGAATATAAATTCCTGAATATTTAACTTAATATTGATAAGTTTACTGATGCTTTTTAGAACTCAGAGAGTAGTTGGTGATCAATAAGGATCAGAGGATATTATTATCCTCCACTCCTAATTAATCCCTTCTCAAAAGCCATTTAGTTGCAAAGTAATCAGAGTCCTTAAAAGATTATACTGCAAACTGCAGGATACATTCCTGGGAAGCTGGGGGGGGGGGAGGGATCACTGCCCTCTTCCCAGCCCCTAGTTTCTCACCCAGGATATTATAAGATGTTTGGTTCTATTGGGTTGGTTGGTTTATAAGCGGTTTGGTTCCATTAGGTCATTCCATTAATTATATTCATAATTAATTAATTAAGAATTAATGAATGAGGCATGAAAGCTGTTTAGAAAAACTAAAACAAGAAAGTGAAGGAAGATTACTTTCTTGCTTTAGTTTTTCTAAACAGTTTTCATGCCTCAATTATATCACATTAATAGGAAAATTAATAGAACACTAAAAGTAATTTACAAGTAAGATTGAAAAGAGGAGGAAAAGGCTAGAGCATTATAAACAGAATGACTATAATGTGTACCTTATGCTTCTGGTAGAAAAACAGCCCTAGTTCAAATGTTGGTTACCTATCTAGAAACCTTTATTTATGTGAGTATTGTTTCAGTGTCTCTCTTCTAAAAACAGGTGCTCCAAATCAAATGTTCACAGGTGCCACTTTTGACCTGTTTTGTGTCTTAGCCTCTTCTCATATTAAGGGCTTGTATGATGTGGAGGATGATTAAAATAAATTATGGAGATTTTTGTAATTGCATTCTAAACACTTGATTGCACCAGATAGAATTGAATAATCTTAATGAATAAAAAGAAATGGACTCCGACACAAAGAAAGAATAACCCTCCCCCAATAATAATTACACATTTTGCAAAGATACCATTTTCTTCTTTCTTTTACTGTCTTTGTGTTTTCTCCTTTAACTTTCAGTTCTGAATGTATGAAATCCCATTGCCTTTACAGAGGTGATAAAATATAACCCTTGAGGCTGCTGGGGCTGGCTTTTTGCAGTATCATTTTCATGAGATGTTTTGGAACAATGTCAGGCAGATTTTAAATCAAAGATATTCCATTCATGAGGGTGCTGCAGTGAATATGTGAACACTTAATCATTGGANTTTAACTTTCAGTTCTGAATGTATGAAATCCCATTGCCTTTACAGAGGTGATAAAATATAACCCTTGAGGCTGCTGGGGCTGGCTTTTTGCAGTATCATTTTCATGAGATGTTTTGGAACAATGTCAGGCAGATTTTAAATCAAAGATATTCCATTCATGAGGGTGCTGCAGTGAATATGTGAACACTTAATCATTGGAAAATGGCACTGTGTAGTGACAATTCCATCCTTTTTCCTTTTAGTAGAATTGCTAAATCATTTTGATAACAGCATTTAGGACTAAAGTGAGAGTCCTTGGAGAGAAGTTTGGCTTTTTGTCTAATTGGATTGCCTTCATTCTATTGGTCTTCAAGTGTCATTAATCTCTTCTAGATGAAATAACTAAGCGTGTAATGATTATTAAGGATAATGCAACCTGAAATCTCTGTGTGACTTGATTTTATGGTGCAAAAAATCAAATACATACTAGATTTCATTTCGGTATATTTGACATCTAATTTTAGGCTGATGGGCATATATTTTTAATGTAAGGTGAATGGGAAAGTGCTCTGTTCTTGACGTGCTATGCAGTAAACCTAAAGTCTGAACAGATGCTAAATTTATGGGTTCTGTATGCAAGATGGCAGAGAGTTACATATAGCTTCGCATTTGCATGATTGGATGATTAGTGTTTAACAAAGGAAATATGCTGGAGGAAAGCAAGTTACAGGGTTGGAAGAGAAACAACTTCCCTTAGAAACTTCCTCTTGTAAGGTTTTCCACTTAGCCTCACAACTGCCCCAGCATTACTCAGGAATTTAAAAGAGCCAAAGAAACTCCTGAGTCAAGGTTTCAGCAAGCAAACAACTTTTATTTTGATCAAAATAGAGTTGGGTGACCCCATCTCTCTTCGTGGCTGGTAGAGAGATGAAGGCAACAACCAGAAAAGATGTCTTCCACCTTTTATATCTTTCCAGAACAAAAAGATCAGGTCTTGGTACTAGGCATAAGATGGCACAAAAAATAATTCCTAGATGATGACTCATACACAGCAACCCAGGCTCCATCCGTAACTCCTTTCCCCCCTCCCCTTACTGTGCTCTTTTCATATAAGCAATCACCTATACCTAAAGCATGAAGCCCTTACTTTTCCAATATATATATAAAGCATCTGATCAAGCAATTAACTACAAAATAATGATTACAAAATAACAAAACAATGATTACATGATAACACTATAAGTATCAATATAAAATGGTTACTATATATAAAATAAATGCTAATGTCAAACTTAAACATACTAAAGTCATAAGCACAATAAAATCCCTTCACTCTAAACTATGCTGAAATTTGATCTTCTTCTGAACTGATCCTTTTCTTTTAGTGCAGAAAGTTATTCAGTGCTTTTGAGAGAAAAATATATATGATACTTGATCTTTTTATCGATGTCATCTGTTGTCTGTTTTGTGTGCAGGAGCATTTCTATATAGCACCAGCCATCTGTAAATTAGTATGTTTTAACCTGTGGGAAATGGGTAGATAGATAGTTATGTTTCTTAAGCAATAATCATTTTAAATCTTTTGTGTGATTTTCTTAAGCATAAACAACTTTTAATTTACTTTGTTCTTCTTTTTAGGTTTTGTTTCGAAACTAAATGTGGTTTGGAGTTTCTGGCAGCTGTTATCCAGCACAAGTATCCTTTTTTGGACAGAACTATAGCGAATACATCTTGATAAATAGACAATGGATAGAGCTTATGAGATGGACGATAGGGTTTTATTAGCAAAAGGAGCTCAGGACATTGCCAAAGAGGCCAAAAAACAGGCAGTAAGGAAAGCAAACAGAGCAGTAGATAGAGCTCAAGATGGCTACACTGAAAGATCTTACAATAGAGTCCAGGCTGAAGAAGAAAATGATTATTATAGCCAAGATGGAAATTATGAAGGAGAAGGAAATGAAGATGAAGGATCAAGTGAAGCAACTGAAGGACATGATGAAGATGATGAGATTTATGAGGGAGAGTATCAAGGAATCCCAAGTACAGCACAGAACAAAGATAGAACTGCAGCTTTAGGACAGCAAATCACAGATGTTTACAAGGATCGATGTGAATTAGAGACAGAGAGAAAAGCTGATGAAGAAGAGCTAGCACAGCAATATGAGTTAATCATTCAAGAATGTGGACATGGACGTTTTCAGTGGGCCCTCTTTTTTGTCCTTGGAATGGCACTAATGGCTGACGGAGTAGAGGTCTTTGTGGTTGGATTTGTGTTGCCCAGTGCTGAGACAGATTTGTGCATCCCCAACTCTGGATCAGGATGGCTTGGTGAGTGTTACTTCTGTCACACTGAATCATAATAAATTAGACAAAGGTTATATAGATACGTATTTGAACATATATATAAGATGCTGCCATGGCTCCTATTTTGATAAGACAAAAAAAGTTGTGTTTTTCTTTTCATCTGCATTAAGGCAAGCAAAAAAGCAAGTTGTTTCTAATTGTCCACTTGGTTAAAATTGAAAGCTAAGATATAAAAGTCTTGAATAAATATACTGGTAGGCTATGAAGCACAAAAACAAGTATGTAAGTTATTGTAATGAGAAATTAGAAAATGTCTCATTCTGCAGTATATTGTGAAGGGTAAATCAGGTAAAGTTCAAAGACAAAGAAGCTGGTACTAAATTGATCTGCTACTACAACAACAATCAAAGGAATCAACTCTTCTTTCCACCCAGAAGTGAAAGCCACACAACCTGTTATGCTACATGAAGGAAGAGATTTAAGAGGTATCCTTTTATTCTGTCATATATAGGATTAGCCTCTTAACACACTGAAATAGTTGGATTTCTTCATTAGCATCTTTTCTAATTCTTACAATAGTAAATTAACATGGAGGGTATCTGCAGTCAGGCATTTTGTTTGGAAAAATACCCACCTGTAGCTTCTCCAAGACTCAGTGATAAACTGGGGTACAAGCATCATCATACAGGCACACCCTCCCTTATTTGCTCTATGAAAGAATGCATTCCTTGTGTCTGCTATCTTGTGAACAGGCAAGCTTCTTGTGAAAATATCCTTATCAGGCTCTCAAAATTCTGAATGTGGCCATTGCCCCTAAGTTCTACTTATCTTTCCTATTGTTCTTTCTGGATATTATAACAATCTATCCAGAATTTATCAACATTTTCTATATGTGACAAAGCAAAGAAATATTGGTGTATGATTTACATGTTAATGCAGAAGATTCTTAGAGTGAATATAAAGGTAAAATCAGAGACTTTCCTTTTAGGTTTAAAGTATAAAGAATTTGAAAAAAAAATTGGAACTTTGATGTTATATATGCTCATGGCAGCAAGAATGCTCTGCACAAAAATGGAAAGCCACTTTGATTCCCACAATGGACGAATGGCTGCAGAAGTTGACAGAGCTAGCAGAAGTGGCGAAATTGACTGCTTTGATCAAAGAAAAGAACACAATTTTGTTTCTATTTGGAAATCACTTTTGGACTTTGTGCTTGAAGCGGATAAAAATGATACTTTGATTTTGGGTTTTGCTGATTAGCTAGATTTGTTTTTATAGAAATGGCTAGTGTATACAATTATATAAAAATAAAAAGTTGAGGTTTTATGTTACTCCCTTATTCTACTGCACCAAAAGGAGTAGGAAGTCAATGCTTTTCTCCCCCCCCCATCCTACACTTTTTTTCTCTTCCCCTTTCCCTTCCTTATTTTCCCATTATTATCATTTTTTCTTGTACTTCTGTATTTTATATTTTGATAAACTAATAAAATAGTAAAAGAGAAAAAGAATTTATCAGCATTTTCTAAATGGTGGATTTCCAGAAGAGTGTCTTTCTTCTACTCTCCAATCTATCCACTGAGTCCAAAGGTTTGAAGGCCATGCTTCATCGAAACCTGACTGCTCCAGCTGTTCTGACAGTGCCTGTGTTTGATCAGGTGTTGAGACTCTGGAAAGAGTACAGAGAAGAGCAACAAAGATGATTAGGGGGCTGGAAGCTAAAACATATAAAGAACGGTTGCTGGAATTGCGTATGTCTAGTTTAATGAAAAGAAGAACTGGGGTAACATATTAGCAGTGTTCCAATATCTCAGGGGTTGCCACAAAGAAGACGGAGTCAACCTATTCTCCAAAGCACCTGAAGGTAGGACAAGAAGCAATGGATGAAAACTAATCAAGAAGGAAAGCAATCTAGAACTAAGGAGAAATTTCCTGACAGAACAATTGATCAGTGGAACAACTTGCCTCCAAAAATTGTGAATGCTCCAATACTAGAAGTTTTTAAGAAGAGATTGGACAGCCATTTGTCTGAAATGGTATAGTTTTTCCTGCCTGAGCAGGGGATTGGACTACAAGACCTCCAAGGTCCCTTCCAATTCTGTTCTTCTGTGTTCAGCAGTCTCAGATGATTCCTGGTTGGAATCTTCTGAGCCTGACATTCCAGAGATTCATCTGGAGCAGCTTTTTTAGGGTTAGAGTCTGAGGCCTGTGACTTCATAGTAGTTAAGGAATACCAGTTTGTTATGCAGCCAGCATATACAGTATAGCATGGGACTGGGATCATCATTTGAGGGATCATCTCTCAGTTACATCTATCCATTCTATCAGGCCTAGGAGAAATGGCATGTTACAAGCCTCATCAATTAAGAAGGTAATCTTAACAGGACCCAAGAATGTCTGTTCTTTGGAATATCACCCTCTCCTTCCAGGTTAGATTTGTCTCAGCCCTGCTTGCCTTTCAAAAATCTCTAATGATATGGTTGCATCAATGAACCTGGGGATGGAGTTATGGTTCGAAAACTGTTAGATAGTTATAATGATTAACTTGCACTTGCCTGCTTTTATGTTTTTTGGTTTTAATTTTGATTTTAATTTGCTTTACAAGGTTATTGTGCTTTTGTTCTCCTGTGTTTTGCTTACTGGTTATTATGTGAGCTACCCAGTTACAAAAATGAGATGGGTGATTTTGCAAATTGAATGAATAAATAAACAGCCACCCTGTGTTTTTAATCATTTAAAAGAACCCAATAGGATTGCCTCTTCTTTGTCCAACTTCTCAGGTTAAGAACAGAGTTTCTGACTTTTGCATTTTTGCTGTATTTGATTTTGTGTTCAGATGTTCATTTCGTAAAAAATAATCATTACTTTTTGCATGTTGGCTAGCTGATAGCAAATCAGCATGGAGTATTACCACACCTACACATTTGATGCTTGGGTGAAAAAAAAGTGCAGATTGTCCTTGACCTATGAGCATTTGTTCAGCAACTATTGTTCAAAGATATGATGGTGCTGTCTTCTCTCATGTACTATGAAATATCAAATTGCCTTTGCTTTTGTCACTAAGGTAGCATCTATCTTCACAATTTTTACATATAGATGCTGCCTGATTGTCTGATGTTCTTTACTATGGGGCTGGGATGATCTTTATATCTTGGATGACCCTGTTGGAAGTAAATGTTATTGATGAAGTGTTCTTTACTGATCCCTCTGGGGATCACAGTGAGGCAGCATAGTAGAACTTGAAGGGATTAGAAGGAATAGCAACAATTAAAAAAAAAACCCCATATTTTACCAAAGCTCAATGTTCAAATGATCTCTAAGACAGTGGTTCTCAACCTGTGGGTCGGGACCCCATTTGGGGTCGATCGACCATTTCACGGGGGTCGCCAAGCAAGGCTGTCCGCCATTTTTTGTCTGCCATTTTTTTTGTCCGCCTTTTTTCCCCCCTTTTCCGGCGGGTGCCTTACCTCCCTTGGGCTGGGCCAGCTGGTGGTCGGCCTGCTCCATCTCTGCCGCTTGCCAGCTACGCCTCGGCCGGCGCAGGGGGCGGAACCACGCATGCGCGGTGTTCCCGGGCAGGGAAAGCCCTCAACTTACGACCGGTTGGGTAGTCCTCGACTTACGACTGGTTTAGTCCTCGACTTACGACCGGTTTAGTCCTCAACTTACGACCGGTTTAGCCCTCGACGTACGACCGTTTGGGGTCGCGGCATTAAAAAGGTTGAGAACCACTACTATAAGACTTTATGATAAAATAAAGGAAAAAATTAAGACCCTGGCTAATGGATCCTGTGGAAGTGACCAAAGCACATCTAGTTTAAGCTGATCAATCCTGAGAAAGTAGACAGGGTTCCTGTTACTCTGAGCTCTGCCACCTGTAGTGTGGACCCACACCTCTCTTGTCTGGTCAAACCTGCTGGGAGGTGACATGCAGTTGTAGTCCAAGCAGTGGTTAATGCCTCTTTATGAGAGGGGGTGATTCCACCTAACTTAAAAGAGGGGGTGATATTCCCCCTCTTTAGGAAGCCACAGTTGGACCTAATAGTTTTGGGTAACTTCTACCCCGTCTCCAACTTTCCCTTAATCTAAAGTTTTGTTAATAGTTCATTTTGACATATGATTCATATTATACTACTTTTATTAATATTATTTTAATATTAATAACAGCCTTGAAACCTCAGATTAATACAAGAAATTTTCAATCTAGAGGACTGATTGAATACTATATTGAAATTTTAAGTTTATGTCATCTGTAAATTTCTTTTATTTGTTTTTATTTTTTCCATATTTCCTCTTAGTAGTAGTTTTAAACATCTACTAAAGTAAATCAACTAAAAATGGAGGATTTTCATTGTGAGGCACAATTAATCCCAGAGAATGAGAAACATTTATGTAGTTTCATGGCATATGCCATTCAGAATCTCTTTAAACCTTAAGTAGATTTCAGATTACAGAATCATGCTAATTTGCTTCTATGAAAGGATGAATTTAAGACTTAGGTGATTATTGCATCTACATTTGGTATCAAAAATCTAAAAGAAAATTTGAGGGTCCTCAGTTACAGAGAAAGTTATAATCTTTATAATAAAACTTATAATAATTTAAGTATTATTACAGGGAATATAACAGATACTTAACCAAGTCTGCCTTATCTCAGCCTTGTTAGGATTTTCTCTTAAATATCAGCAGGGACTATTGGGTAAGTGAAGATACTTAATAATAATAATAGTAAAGTTGGAAGGGACCTTGAAGGTCATCTAGTCCAACCCCCTGCTCAGGCAGGAAACCCTATACCATTTCGGACAAATGGCTGTCCAGTCTCTTCTTAAAAACTTCCAGTGTTGGAGCATTCACCGCTTCTGGAGGCAGGTTGTTCCACTGGTTAATTGTTCTCACTGTCAGGAAGTTTCTCCTTAGTTCTAGATTGCTTCTCTCCTTGATTAGTTTCCACCCGTTGCTTCTTGTCCTGCCTCCAGGCGCTTTGGAAAAACTTTTAAATGATACTTTTGACACTAGTAGTAAAAGTA